CTGTCTCTATACACACACACACACACACACACACACTGTCTGTCTCTATACACACACACACACACACACTGTCTGTCTCTATAGTGTGTGTGTGTGTATAGAGACAGACACACACACACACTGTGTGTCTCTATACACACACACACACTGTGTGTCTCTATACACACACACACACACACTGTGTGTCTCTATACACACACACACACACACTGTGTGTCTCTATACACACACACACACTGTGTGTCTCTATACACACACACACACACACTGTGTGTCTCTATACACACACACACACTGTGTGTCTCTATACACACACACACACTGTGTGTCTCTATACACACACACACACACTGTGTGTCTCTATACACACACACACACTGTGTCTTTATACCCAGGTTCCTTACACCCGACTGTGTCTTACCACACACCACACACCAACACCACACCACACCACACCACTGGTCTTACGTTCCTCGACACACTGTCTGTCTGTCTCACACACACACTGTCTGTCTCGCACACCACACCTGTCCTTACACACACCCGGCCCCACACCACACTGTCCGTCTCATTACCGTTCGTCTTACTGTTCCACACTGTCTGTCTTCACCTGTCTGTTCACACCGTCTTTAACACACACACCACCGTCCACCACTGTCTGCCCCACACTGTTCCGTCTCACACTGTCTGTCTCTAAAATCTCGCCAGCCTGTCTTAATTGTTCGTCTTCTACTGTTCGAAAACCTTTATAATTCGTCTTCTTTACGGCCAATTGTCTGTCTTCTACACTGAAATCTTTACCCGTCTGCACACTGTCTGTCTCTACACACACTGTCTGTCTCTACACACACTGTCTGTCTCTACACACACTGTCTGTCTCTACACACACACTGTCTCTACACACACACAGTCTCTCTACACACACAGTCTCTCTACACACACAGTCTCTCTCTACACACACAGTCTCTCTCTACACACACAGTCTCTCTCTACACACACAGTCTCTCTCTACACACACAGTCTCTCTCTCTCTACACACACACTCTCTCTCTCTACACACACACTCTCTCTCTCTCTACACACACACTCTCTCTCTCTCTCTACACACACACACTCTCTCTCTCTCTACACACACACTCTCTCTCTCTCTACACACACACTCTCTCTCTCTCTCTACACACAGTCTCTCTCTCTCTCTACACACAGTCTCTCTCTCTCTCCACACACAGTCTCTCTCTCTCTCCACACACAGTCTCTCTCTCTCTCCACACACAGTCTCTCTCTCTC